GGGTTGGCATGAATGTCCCGGTGGCGTTGTTTCGCCGTAGACCAGCATGCACCTGGTAGCATTGCTAGCTAGAGCTGGACTGTCATGCAGTGTGAGCCGTGCCACTCTGCTGCTGACCAGCCATGAGGATGTCGATGCTGGGCGTTTGTCTGCATAAATGACCAATAAGCATGGGCTGCGAGAGCCCGTCTCAGTCCTTTTGCTTCACCTGGAGCTGCCACTTATCCGCATCGTCATGCACATGAGCAGCATCCCCGCCCATACACATTCGCTTGTGCCACCTCCTCCTCCTTAAGCAGCAAGATTTCCGCTCCTCTGTGGCCCCTATCGGGATCGAACCGATGACCTTGGCGTGCCCATGGCTATTAGCACCACGCTCTAACCAGCTGAGCTAAGGGGCCCCACTTTCCTGCAGCTGTACGACAGTCGTCCCTGATGCAATAACAGCCACAACCGCTACAACTGCCACAACGGCGACAACGGCGACAACGGCGACAACGGCGACAACGGCGACAGCCGCTACAACGGCGACAACTGCCACAACGGCGACAACTGCCACAACGGCGACAGTCGCGACAATGGCGACAACGGCGACAACGGCGACAACGGCGACAGCCGCTACAATGGCGACAGCCGCTACAATGGCGACAAGAGCGACAAACGCAACAGTCGCAGCAGACGCGTTGCGTGCAACAGTTGTGCTCTAGGTCATCGGTGCACAGTGCATGCCGGGTTCCGGGGCTCACCTACCACGCCTACTGTACATATATTTTGGAGCTGTAGCATTTTCGTTATTGGGCTACCTCTGCAAGCCCGCCGGCTTTCCTCAGAGCCGGAAAAGGGCGGGCCCCCCCTGCATATATCCGTACAGGCCGGTGTAGCAGTCGCTCACCTGACGGGAGGACTGACAGAGCGGAAGCGTGGAGTTATTAGTCCTCGTCGATGTAGGAAGAAGTCCAACCAAGCGGCAGGCACTAGCATACATAAGATGTGTACGTAACGGTTAGAGACGGCGGCAGCGGAGTCTTGAACTCCGAACACCTAGTAATGTGATACGTCAGTGTCTGGCCAGAACACCCCGCCCGGGTAGCTTATATCTCGGCCTACCTGCCGGATAATCTCTACTACGGACCTTGCCGTACTAGGATAATGTTGGTGGGGCCCGGGGCCCCAGCCCGTTAGATTCGCTTACTGACAGCTGCCCAGTTCGTGACATGCGACGAAACTCGGAACATGTACGAAACTTGAGTCAGATCGTTTAACAAATTAACAGTTATTGTTAAAAGTAATCGTTAAAATATTCTAAGGGAAATGTAGCTTGCTACAGTCTCCCCCCTCTGAAGCGAACCGTCCCGGGAGCGTCACTTCTTCTTAGAAGATTTCCGTCCCTTGGGTTTTTCCGGGGCTTGAGGGTGTTTCTTAGACGCCAGTTTGCGTTCATATTCGTCGATGGATTCAGCCAAGGGGGTAGACTGGCGAAGGGATTCCTCTGGTTCATAGGTATTATGACTAGAGTCGTAACCTTCCCATTTAATTAAATACTCTCGACGTGTTTTTCCACGTCCCCCTCGGACTGAAACATCACGATGGTCGACAATGGCTTCGACCATAAAATACGGCTCACCCTCAATGACGAGTGGCGCCGGTGGCTGTCGCTTAACGTCTTCTTTGTACAATTTCAACAAAGAGACGTGGAAGACCAGGTGTAGGCGGGAGGCCGCCGGTAAGTCCAGTTTTACCGCAGCTTCGCCCACGCGAGCGACAACCGTGTATGGGCCGATGAACTTAGGCATCAGCTTTCCAGGGGTTTTTAATGTAATATTTTTGGTAGATAACAGCACTTTCTGCCCAACCTCGTAACGCACTGGACGCCTATGCATGTCGGCGTCGTCCTTCTGGACTTGTTGCGCAGCCAAGAGACACTTTTTAGCTTTGCTTATACGCTCCCGAAGCATCGCTTCTTGCTTCTGAGCGGCAGGCACCTTGGTTTTGAGGTGAAGGTCAACCGGCACACGTGGTTGTCGAACACCATTTAGGGAAAACGGAGTTGTCCCCGTTGCCTTCTGTTTTGAGTTGTTTATGGCAAACTCAATCAGTGGCAAATGCTCATCCCAATCATCTTGAGTGGGTGATATGTAGTGCCTGAGTGTCTCTTCCAGAACGCGATTCATGCGTTCCGTTTGCCCGTCTGTTTGCGGGTGAAAAGCTGTGCTCATATAGAGGTGGGTGCCCAACAGGCGAAATGTTTCCTTCCAGAAATTACTTGTGAAGCGAGAGTCCCGGTCTGAAATAATGTTCTTTGGAAGGCCGTGCTGCCTGAAGACGGTAGCCACAAAGAGGCGGGCTACATCTTCAGCTGTAGCAGTTGTGTGTGTGGGAGCAAAGTGCGTCATTTTGCTCAGCCGGTCCACGAACACTACAATCGCATCGTGCCCATTGCGGGATGTCGGTAGCTGCGTAACCAAATCCATTGTCACGCTTTCCCACACCTCCGTTGGAATGGGAAGGGGCTGCAGTAATCCACCCGGCTTAGCATTTGTTGGTTTATTACGCTGACATTGGGGACATGATTTGACGTGTTCTTTAACGTCAGAGTCAAGCCCTGGCCACCAATATGATTGTGCAATCGCTTGTTTGGTGCGGTCTATACCGCGGTGGCCTGCGTAAGGGACATCATGATACTCGGTCAAGATGGCTCTTCGCAGTTCAGCGTTATGAGGGACATAGATCTGGTTTCCCCGATACCAGAACCCATTCCTTCGTTTTAACTGCAGCTTGGCTACTCTTGATTTAGCAAGGTTTGGATCACCGTCGTACCCGCTTTTGATTCGGTGTCCCAAGTCGCTGTCCGCCAGCGAGGCCGTAAGCACATTAAGCACCATGTCGTGAACCCGACTAATAGGGTCTGCGACATTAATCCGTCCGGGTCGGTACTCCCAAGTGAACTGGAATCGGGACAATCGTTCCAACCATCGAGCTTGCCTTCTGGAAAGTTTATCAGCGCTTTTCTGCTCTTGCAGATACCCTATGGCAGTCCGGAGACGTGTAACTCGTCAGGCTCGGTAGCTACGGGGCAGTTGTCTGGACAGGTTACTCGCCAGCTAGAAGCTTGGTAAATGTGCAACCTTGAAAGTGTCATAATTAGGCACAGATATGCGCGCTGAGTGTGTGAAATGTTATGACGA